ACAACACGGACGGCTGTGTCCTACAGAAGTTCTCTGACGACTCTGCCATCAACAGACTCCGCTCCGAGGACAATGACGCAGAGTACAGAGGAGTAATACAGGACTTTGTGGACCGATGTCAGCAGAACCACCTCCTCATCAACGCAGGAAAGACCAAGGAGATGGTGGTGGATTTCCGCAGACGTCATTCTAACACTCTAAACAGCCCCGGTGAACATCCAGGGAAGGGACATTGGTCCTTATTTATGAAACTTGCATACGGCCAAATCAAGGTGTAAATGAGGCGTTCACAAAAAATGTACTCTTTTCAGCATTTATCAATCTGGACGTGGGCCTACGGTACGCACAAAACACACAACACACCAAAACATGCATGAAATTCAAGATTTGGACAACAATAAACAAATTCCCTCAAAATTATAAGCTGCGTTATCATTGAGCATCGCATTTCGAAATTTGAATGTGTGCAACAGAAAAACCCTAATGGAAACACGCAAACTTCAAATATATCACAGTTCATGATGAGGACCCTATTCTGTTTCTTCGTTTTTAAATCTGACTTGTACATGTATTATTTTCATATGTATGTTTTTTAAATGTGAAGCGCTTTGTGATCCTGGTCTGTGAAAGGCGCTTTACAAATACACTTGACTTACTTACTAACATTTTTTATTTATTCATTTATTTGATAGGGACAATGCACATTAAAGAACATTAGTATAAAACAAATGTAATTATGCCGGATTATAGCTACAAAGCTAGTTTTCATCCGTAGTCCCTAGGCAGGAAAACACATGACAAAATACAACAAAATAAAATAAAAAATAACACTACAATACAGACAGCACAGGGAAAAGTTCAGAGTCTAGTGGTCACATGACTGGTTTCTTTTAAGCCATTGTTTGATTTGAGTTTTAAAGGTGACCAGTGTAGGACTCTCCTGTAAGTGCAGAGGGAGACTGTTCCAGATGTTCATGGTCTTCACAGAGAGTGTTCTGTCCAAAGGTAGTTTTTCTGAAGGGGACCTCACAGTCTCCTCTGGAGAAGGCCCTAGTCCTCAGGCCACTTGAAGTCCTAGGTTTGAATAAGGCCGATACAGGAGGTGGGGCTAGTCCATGTAGCGCTTTGAAAATGAAGCATACACACTTAAAGTTGATAAAACGTTCAAAATTTAAAAGATTGTGCTTGTTTAAAATATTGCATGCATGAAATGAATTGGGTTTTCTGCCAAAAACTTTAAGAGATTTCTTATACAGAGATTCAATTATTTTCAAATTGGTTACAGAGGTGAGAGACCAACTTGTGATGCAATGTTCAATATGGGATAAAATCATTGAATGGAGAAACATTCTAGCTGCACGTGTTAAAAAAGATCTGATTTGTTTAACATTTTTAAGGTTGAATTTAACGGTGTTGGCCAGTTTTTTTATATGATTTTTAAAAGATAGAGTGGAGTTCTGTGACAAGTTGTAGTTCTTCAGTTGGTGTTCTCCAAGCACTTTTGATTGCTTGGAGAACATCATACAGACCGTTTTTTTAGAATTTAGAAGCAAGCATGATTTAAACAGCCAGTCATTTACTTGCTCCATGGCTGAGGTCAAAATGGAAGCTGCTTCCTTAATGCTCCTTGCATGAGTATATATTACAGCATCATCTGCATACATTTGAAAACTCACATTAGTACATGTTTTGGGAAGATCATTTATGTACAGTGAGAATAATAGGGGGCCAAGTATTGATCCTTGCGGCACACCGACTGACAGACATCCTGGATTGATGACTTTACACTGCCAATATGTACACATTGTTTTCGTGAAGCTAACTATGATTTAATCCATTGAATGGCCTCTGGCGAGAAGTTGAAGTCTGTTAATTTTGCTATCAGAATTTCATGGCTGACAGTGTCAAATACCTTTTTAATATACGCAATAGAGATGTGTGACCCATCTATTGCTTTGTAAATCTGGGGCAGGCCCTGCGCTGAGTAACACGCATGGCTATTTGTTTTGCCTCATTCACATCTGGCAAAGCAATGTATTTTTTCATTATTTTTGTGTATAAAGCCCCATAAATGGTTTTGGTCATTCCAAACTGTCTCAGCCACTGCCCTGTACTCCGCATGTAGCAGTTTATAGATAGGATGGCAACGCGCTTTTCTGTGGGAACAAGCTCACGAGCAGTGACTCTTTGGGCAGTGCGCCCACCGGGTGCCACGACTCATCCCACCGCAAAACTCCTCAAATGTGGTGCGCGTCAGTCATACATTTCGGATTCAGAGTTCCTCAGTGAAATCACGGACACTTCCCAAAAGCTTCTCATACGCATCCTTTCTCATATGTATAGTGCTCCATTGCATTCACAAGAAGATGCCGCAGACGCTTCACCCGGTTAATGATGAGAGCCACCGCTGAGGCCAAGATATAAATATTCATTCATTCATTCACTTCTTAAGTTCAAGAGAGTTGAGTGATGCAGTAGGTCTAGACACTAGGGAAAAACGTGTATATATAGCGTATATTTATTTTTAAGCAAATGTGAATAAACTTAGGAGTGCTTGTCTTATGCCTTTTTAAGGCTTCCAACTGGTCTTACTATCAGCAGCAGTTGCGTACGCTCGGATCTGGGCGGATCTCACACGTTCATAAATCCCACGTTGGATTTTGCGGATTTGGAATACATTCACCAAAAATATACATCCTTTTTGTGGAAGTTTCATAAATGAGGGCCATTGAGAGAGTGGACTCTAACAAGTAACTAAATATCCATCCATCTGATATTTCTGTCATTCACTCCTCACTTTACTGCTGATATTGTTACTGTTGTTTATTCTGCTCATGTTATCCGCTGCTAAAGTACAATTATTTTATTTTGTTCCATTTTACCATCGTATCATCTCATTATTTTATTGTTGTCTGTTATCTAAATAATAGACTCTGTTTGATGTGTGCAATCCGTGCTCTTATTTCCTTCTTTCTCTTCTATAATGTGCGCAATGATGACACTAAAATTTATGAAACATGTGTTATAATGGCCGAATCCAAGTCCAAACCAAAATCCAATAGAACATCTGAAAACTGCTTTCTACATCTAATTTGACAAAACTCAAGTTGTTTTGTACACAACAATGGGCTAAACTCTTTGTTCCTTGATGTGAAAATCTTGCCGTACCTCAAAAGACTTGCTGTTGTTATTGCAGCAAAAGGAGATTCCATAAAGTATTAACTCATGCTTTATGAATACTGGTTCAGGTCCAGCTTTTTGGTTTTCAAATTTTTTGAAAAATAACAGAATCATCTCTTTTCATTTCACATTTATCTGATACTTGTGTGTGAATGTTCAGTAAAAAATCTAAATCAAATCTTTGTTTATGGTTTTAAATATGAAAAAACGTGCAAAAGTTCAGGCTGTTTTAATACTCTTGAGAGGCACTGAGAGTTACAGTGCCTTGCGAAAGTATTCGGCCCCTTTTAACCTTTCAACATTTCGCCACATTTCAGGCTTCAAACATAAAGATATAAAAAATGATTGTCAAGAATCAACAACAAGTGGGACACAATCGTGAAGTGGAACGAAATGTATTGGATAATTTAAACTTTTTTAACAAATAAAAAACTGAAAAGTGGGGCGTGCAATATTATTCGGCCCCCTGGCCCATTTTGGTTTCATCTGACCAGAGCACCTTCTTCCACATGTTTGGTGTGTCTCCCAGGTGGCTTGTGGCAAACTTTTAACGAGACTTTTTATGGATATCTTTGAGAAATGGCTTTCTTCTTGCCACTCTTCCATAAAGGCCAGATTTGTGCAGTGCACGACTGATTGTTGTCCTATGGACAGACTCTCCCACCTCAGCTGTAGTTATCTGCAGTTCATCCAGAGTGATCATGGGCCTCTTGGCTGCATCTCTGATCAGTCTTCTCCTTGTTTGAGATGAAAGTTTGGAGGGACGCCCGGGTCTCGGTAGATTTACAGTGGTCTGATACGCCTTCCATTTCAATATAATTTCTTGCACAATGCTCTTTGAGATGTTTAAAGCTTGGGAAATCTTTTTGTATCCAAATCCGGCTTTAAACTTCTCCACAACAGTATCTTGGACCTGCCTGGTGTGTTCCTTTGTCTTCATGGTTCTCTCTGCGCTTTAAACAGAACCCTGAGACTATCAAAGAGCAGGTGCATTTATACGGAGACTTGATTACACACAGGTGCATTCTATTTATCATCATCAGTCATTTAGGACAACATTGGATCATTCAAAGATCCTCACTGAACTTCTGGAGTGAGTTTGCTGCACTGAAAGTAAAGGGGCCGAATAATATTGCACACCCCACTTTTCAGTTTTTTATTTATTAAAAAAGTTTAAATTATCCAATAAATTTTGTTCCACTTCACGATTGTGTCCCACTTGTTGTTAATTCATGACAAAAAAATTACAATTTTATATCTTTATGTTTTAAGCCTGAAATGTGGCAAAATGTTGAAAGGTTCAAGGGGGCCGAAAAAATTCGCAAAGCACTGTAATCATTGACCAACTGCTGTTACAGCACAAAAGGGGGACCCAAAAAGTGACTCTAGTGAAAAAATGGAAAATAACGCATTTATTTGGGAGTGTGAGGCAAAGCTGGAAAAACCAGAGGCGAACTTGAAGTGGCAGACGAGAGAACAAACAGGAACACAGGAACTGCCAAAGAACAAAAAACAAGGTAAGTGCACAAATCTAAAATAGGACAGCAGGTTGAGTCAAAGCAATTATTCACCACTCAGCAGACAAAAGAATTGGCACCAACAGGCTGTAGAGCTGGGTTCTTGTAGTCTGCAGATGATCATTGCCTATAGGTGTGTACAGCAGGCCCCACCCCTGCCCTCACACAGAGGGAAGGGAGGGGCAGGAGAGGAGGGAGCAGTCACAGACAGTGGTGTGACAACTGCTTTTCCACAATAAAATTTAATTGGACTTTCAAGAATATGTGTCTCTCTGTTTCTTTTATGTTATTGTCTTGTTGCAGTCCATTTGACAGCAGTGAGAAGATGAGGCCTCTGTCCATCAGCCGACAGTCTGTGTCCAGCAGAAAGAGCTCCATGTCCTGGACCGCTCGCAACACGCCATCCTTCACCGAGAAATATTTTATGGTGAGGACTGACCGCACAAGGATACAACAATGTCCATAGTTTATACCAAATATCACATTTGTGCTCTAACAAGTTCAATAACATCTTCATTAATCAGTTATTAAAATAATAGCCTGGAACTAAATTAATTACACATTTTCAGAATTGTATTAAATTTGCCTCCTGGGCTTAAATGATATTTAATTAGTCATTTTATGGATTATAATATTATGGGTAAGTCCCGTCTTCTAATCTTAGCTATAGCTCAAAATCCACGATGCCGTCCACTTTAACCAATCAAGTGATGCTGTCAATCATCGCGAGAGCTGTGCACTAGTGCTCGTAGCTGTGCGCTTGCTCGGTTGTTTGTTTTCACAGAGCCTCCGAACCAAGCCTCCACCAGGCTCTGGAACTACAAGAAAACTGAACAAAGAAATTATTAGTTAACTAATGTAACTGTAGTTTTAAGATAGCCCCTTAGGCTACGCTATGGGTGACTCCTGAGGCACCTAGCCCCCGCCAGAGAGATCCTTAGATCGAATGCTCCAATCACGAGCCAGCTCCTCCTATAAATAGCCCCGCTCAGGCCTGCACCTGCCACTTTGAACTCAGCCAAAGCCAGGCTGGCCTGATGGGCCTGTAGCTAAGGGGCTACGCACCCATTTGTAGACGTACAAACACATTAGGTAACTAATAATTCTACTTCATGGTGCTATGCCCCGTAGGAAGATGCACTCGTCAGCGTAGAGTGATTGGAGCCCTGCCCGAGATTCCCCCAACACCACCAAGGTGAGCGGGCTCAGGGCAGGAAAAAGGAAGCAAAAATAGTGATACAGGGCCGCTCCTATCAAGGACGCCCGAAGAACACTGACAAGCCCCTTCCAAGGGCAAAAGGAAACCACAGAGTTAAAGGGCCGGTCCTATCAAGGACGCCCTAAGAACTCTGTAAAGATACCTCCCCTGCGAGCAAGGGCAGGCCGCATTCCCAGGACGCCTCTATCAAGACCTCCTGAAGGGAACGGCAACACATCCCGCCCTCGAGGACCAAGGGCCCCAGGACGCCTCTACCAAGAGCTCCTGAAGGGGACAGTAAAACACGCCACCCTCGGGGAACCGAGGAAGGCAGGCCGCAACCCCAGGACGCCTCTACCAAGAGCTCCTGACTGGGGCGGCCACTACACAAACACATCAGACCGCAGGCTGCCTCTACCAAGAGCACCTCACGGTTCAAATTAAATCCCAGCGTTCAGAACCGAGTGGGCGACCGACCTTTCTGAAACGTTGACCAGATACGACTGGGCAAAGGAAGAGGATGAGGCCCAGGACGCCGCCTGACAGAGCCGTGGAGGCTGCAACCCCCCGCGTGGAGTGAAGCCTAGTGTATACTTGCGCGGCGCTGCTTATGTTAGCGGTTGCGGTGGACAGGCCCGGACTGGCCATCGGGAGCATCGGGAGATCTCCCGGTGGCCTGCGCGTCAAAGTGGCCTGGGCCTGCCCTATCATCACGGTCTTTTTTTTTTTTTTTTTTTGTTTTTTTTTTAATTTAATTTCATCCTCACGGTCTTTGCAAACTCCTACCCTGCCTGGTGGCCTGGTCCAATGAGCAAGGCCCAGGCCAAAGCCAGTGTTGTGCGTGAACGAGTTCAAAAGAACGCGTTCATTGAACACGCTCATTTTTTCGTGAACGTTGAACTGAACGCAACACATTTTTTAATAAAGAACTTGAACGTGAATTAGTTCATATTATGTGTCATGAACGGCGGACAATTTGTTTTCCATTTAAAACTGAGTGAAATCGGTTTTCTCTTTTGAAACGCAACGAGAGAAAGTTCCTCCCTCCTGTATTCTCCGCACTGTTTCCGCCGAAAACTAAAAATTCCTACGGTTTCCACCGTCTGTGAACGCACCCCGACTCAGTGTACTTGCGGTGCGGCGCTATTTGCTAGTGCTATTCATTGGTTGTTGGACTCACATGTGCCGTGATGAAAACACAGGGTAAGTCACAAGTTTACATTTGACATAAAGTATAGACACACGTTCTGCAGCGCATTACAGTTTGTACTTATGCTGCTCATAAGTTAATGGGAAGTTAAGCTCATAAGATGGGACAACTCAGTTCCCATTGAAACCCATGTAAATCTTGTCTGCATTGGAGTCAAAACATCCTGTGCAGTGTACAGGATATAATATATAATTATGTATATATATATATATATATATATATATATACCAACCACGTATTGTGATTTCTAGCTCGTAGTGAAAAAAAATATATATTTGAATATCTCGCAAAAAGTAAAATGAACTGAACTTTGAACTAGTTCAGAATTAAAATTGAGAACTTCGAACGTGAACTGTTCACTTTGAGCATGTATGATCTGAACTTGAACTAGTTCAGAAAAGCTGTGAACTGGCACAACACTGGCCAAAGCTTTACTGTCATTGGGCCAGAGCAAAATTAAACAAATGTGACGTCACACGTCGGCTACACAGCCAGGCCAGCCTAGCAGTGCACCCAGTGTAGCTTCCCCGGTTGAAATGAGTGGTCTCTCCAACTGATGGTTCATACACGTTTTTATTTTTCCTTTTATATGAGCTGTAACGATGTGATTTTACCTTACTACTTTTTTAACAATAATTGATTAGCTTGTTATAGTTATACACTAATGAACACTTAGTTCATTGTGTGTGTGTGTGTGTGTGTCTTTATTCTCACTAAACTCCATAAACGTTACGTTGCTAAGCAACGTACAACAATCCTTAAACGTCCGAGATTATATAAACAGTCAATATAAAAAAAAAAAAAAGAAAACAAAAGTTTTGACAGTCAATCTTAAAACTATTAAAAGAAAATCAAAATACAATGACAAAAACCCAAATTTAGAACCTTGTTTGGCCTGAATGGATGAAAAGCTCCCGGCCTGAAATGTTGTCCCACTCCGGCCCTGGCGGTGGACCTACGCAAGCACAATTTAATTTGTACTCCTTGCGGAGTTTTGAGAAGAATGTAATCGCACAACCAACTACATGATGCGATCTCACAGGAGTTGCTTGAGATACCAAAGCGGTCTCATTTATGCTGCTACTTTCTCCTCTTCAGAACAAAACATGAACAAGCCGAGCTGTTTGAGATCATTAGGGTCATATGTGTTTCTACGGTAGGTTTATGTGATAGTTCTATGGACTCATTATTTCTTAAGTCATTTAACTGTGATGTTGTGAATAAAGACACAGTTCTTGTTGGAAACATAGTTATTATTAAATTTTATTCAGCATAAACAGCAAAACAATAAAAGTGGCTAATATCTGAGGCAAACATGAACAATTTATAAGTGCAGGAGGAATGGAACAGACGCGATAAGCTACGAGTGTAGATTCAAACAAAGACAGGAACAGTGCAAAGGAAATGACTGCACAGTTTATAAGTTATATATACGTTAGATATGTTAGATATATATGCAACAGAACTCTAGTCCATAGTCTCCGCGTATATCAGGCTCTGCCATGAGCCCAAACTACTTTTCCTTTGGTTCCTTCGAAGCTCGAAGCTCTCTGCTCTATAGTCCCTCCTCCATGTTCCCTGCAGCCGCTCCGTGCTTCCTTCCAAAACACACACACGGACCAATCACAGCGGAGCTTCCTTGCGGCGACCCTTACGTAATTAGAACATTTCGATGCTGCAGGCAATGTAAGGGCCTTGCGGTGACCAACGCGTTGCGCAAGTGACGTCACGTCACCTCCGTAAGCTCCACGCCGCACGAGTAAACTAGGCTTAGGTCCTGAACCCCACCAGGGGAGCCAACCCCTGTGCCTGGTATGCCATGCGAACCGCCCGGGCAACCCAGAGCGCCAGCCGCTGAGACACGCATAAATCGCCCGCCATAGTCCATAGTTTATACCAAATATCATGCAGCCTGCTCTTCTCCCTGTTCACCGAAAAGCCCAGGCGTTGGGTATGGGGTAAGGTTACTGTCAATAAAGACGTACGTGTCTAAAAAAAATGCGTGCATATTTATTGGTATTTGTGCATACAAATATTTTATGCATTCATGAATAAGATAATACAAACTAAAAAGGCATGGAATTTCGTAATTAAGAATAAAAAAATATAAAACTGTATGTATTTTTGTACTTGTGAGCTTGCATTTTCTTTTTTGAGAATACGAATTTCAGCAGTCAGCAAACTTAATATTACGTCACTGCTCACAGACATTAACACTCACATTGAAGCACACGGCTCCCATAGGTTGCCAAATTCCAGCAAGATTTTCCAACCCAAAATCCGCGAGAATACCCACAAAAAAAAATACACACATTTTTTGGCTAAAAACGTAATGTAATCAACTTGGGCTATTATGATTCTGTTTATTGTCTTTCTGTTTATTTAATACCTACAAGTCTCATGGAAAAAAATATGCAGGAACCACCAAACCTGGCAACCCTGCTGCATAGTGAGTAAACAGGAACACTGAACCAGTGCTTCAACCAAACTTTTGAACATTTGACTCTTAAAACATAACATCATCATAGAACCATCTACATCTCGCCTCAAATGCATTAAAAGTGACATCCGTGTCTTAATTCGATAGTATTTACTCTTTTAAAAAGATTCGCGGACTTTACGTCCGCCATCTTGGATTCCTCTCGCCGCTGCATGAGAGAAGCTTGAGAAGGCAGTGCAATGAAAAAAAAAAAAAGAATTGAATTTTAAATGGACCTGAATTCATCTATTTGAATGTTTTTAACATCTTGAACATTTTTGTCTGTGAATTTCAATCACTGATTATCAATTTCATAATGTTAAATTCAACGCAAAAAATTTGATGCAAAAAATTCAACGGGAAAAATGCAACAAAAAAAATTCAACGTGAAAAATTCAACGTGAAAAATTCAACGTGAAAAATTCAACGTGAAAAATTCAACGTGGAAAATTCAAAGTGAAAAATTCAACGCGAAAAATTCAAAGTGAAAAAGTCACATGACACAACCGGTGTTCTGACGAGTTGTGTACTCTGTCAGTT